GTAAATATCATCATCATATCAAGTAAAAGGAGTCAGACAAATACATCTTAATTAAAGCATTAAAAGATCTTGAAGTTTGAAAGACTTCAGTCTCCATGTGTTCTAGAAATAAATCAGACAAATAATACAATAAAACTTCTATCTGATAAGAAGTCTGAATAACCAATTACTTAAAAATTTCACCATCTGCTCTCATTGAAGCAGCAAGATGGATGCGTTTTCCCATTACGAACCACAATATTCAGAACATAACAGAATGAGAAATGCAAACATGTTTTCCCTCCTTTCTCATTCACTCTGGTGGTTCTTAATAAAAACTTGAGCTATACAAACAAAGGAAAGTGAAGGATACTCCTCCGCCCCATCTCCTAATTGAGCGCTTATATCCAGTAATAGCTTTTTGCTGCCATGGGCAGCATGACATTGCCTCATTGGCCACAAACAGCAATTATTCTAGGAGTCAGCTAGTGAAGTGCCCCAATACATCTGCTCACTTTTCATGGGCTGGTGCTTTCCTTGATGTTGACAGCTGTCTTAATATTCCTGGGCCACCTGCCACCAGCAAATACTGTGTTCTGAGACATATACAATGTTTATCCCTCTGGTGGACTTCTCAGAACAAAAAGCTTAGCATTTCTAAACTATATTTGCATCGTTGTTTAAATGCTTGGGCATCAGCACTTTCAGTGCATTCTGCTACTTTTGAGGTAAATAGTGCTATGCTGTGGGAGTTAGAATGTGATGGACTTCATTCAGGTTTCCTGACATATCAAATAAGCTATAGAATTACAGACTTTATGGAAGTTGTGATGGTCGCACAAGGTGGAGATAGAGAATATTCACAGTTACTTTCTCTAGGTAAGACCTCCTTGAGAGAGAGAGAGAGAGAGATCTCTTAGAAAGATATATATATACACACACATATATATACACACACATATATATACACACACATATATATACACACACATATATACACACACACATATCTAGAAATAGAGCGATATATATCTAGATGTATGTAACTTACATATTCCCTTAGAAAGATGTCCCATGTCACACCCTCTTTGTTCATGTTTCCTCCATCAGACGTGCTCCTGGAGGGAAAGCACTTGGTCTTGCTCATCCGCGTGTCTCTAAGAATGCACATGTATCTGATACCTAGCTGGCATTCGGGACAGAACTACATTTTGTGGTATCTGAAGATTTTACAGCTTGGGGGGCCCTCTTTAAAGAAAAATGATATAAAATTAAAAATTAAGATTAAATGCAAAAGCAAATAAAAATAAGTCATGTAAATTACCAATTTTAAAAGGTTGACTAATATTACAACTATCAGAAAGTCTAGAAAGTACTTTTGGCCATTAACTGCCCAGCATACCTCTATAATATGGTATTTTCTTGTATTTTTGGCAGTATACACTTTGATAGACTTTCATATGACAATAATTTGTACTATCATCTTCTAAACATATAATGGAAAGAATTCAGTCTAGAAGAGCTATGTAAATGTGTAACACCACATACTCACACTCACTGTTGTGGAGCTGCCACAGGTTTGTGCCTACAAACCAGCAATCCGATGAATTCTATCTTACATAATTTTTATTAAAAAGTTTGGTGTGCTTACAATCATAAAAATTTTATACACTGCACTGTTGAACACGTTCTTGTTATGAAATTATGTTAATTAAAAGCGGTTCTTCCTCTTTCAGTTTTGTCTTTTGGCGCCTGTAGTTGTTTCCCATGTCACCTTTGGCTACAGTTCCAACCTGGTTTCACCTCCACTGCCCACATTTTCAGAGTCAGGAGCCTTAGGGTGTGTTTACATTTTGAATAGGATCTCTGGTCTCTTGGGTGGAATGTTTGCTGTGTTACGCGATAGATAAACTGGAATTTATGCAATAATTCTGGAGAAGTTTACGACCACATAAATATATCCCACCAAATGCAAACTAAATGTATTCCCAACTCAAATTCCCGAGGCGATCCCAAAATGCCCCCAATAACTCCAGTATCAACTGACTCTAGGAATGGTGTGATGGAGGAAAATCCAGGTAGAAAGGAATTGTGGTCTTAGTGAACTTCAGTTAAAACATTTGCTTTTGTAAATGTCATGAAAACACAGGCACATGTGATCACATTCCTGAGTTCACCTTGCAAAAGACTGCTAGGGAGGGGCCTTGCGGCTTCAGCTCCAACAGCTTCACAGCAAATGCGCTTCTACTGTTGGTACTCACTAAATGTCTTCTGAATAACTGAGTGAGTGAAGACAACTGCGCTAAATTAGCATCTCTCATATCCTCACAACTACCACATGTTTACAGACTTCCTAGTTCAGTCTCAGAACTTAGTATTCAGAAATGTTATTATGAGTTCATAATATAAGGATATGACATCTAGGAACTGAAAAATATTAGAAAAGTAAAAACAAATTTAGGAGTCACTGTTTTATGGCTTTAAGCTAATTTTTCATGGACAAAGTTCCCCTTAATGGATGCAGGGCACCGTAAGTATTACACTTCAATCCAGTGCTTTGTTTGACCACAAAGTGAAGATTAGTCATTGTTTCATTCATGAATTAGTGGCTTTGAGGAAATATATATATATATATATATATATATATATATATCAATCATTGTTCTATATTGCCCAACTGTTTAGTTTAGGGACCTCTAATAACATTTATATTATCTTATATGGTTACAAGCTTACCATATATTAGAAGGGATTAGCATTAATAGAAGGGATTCTATCTGGATGGCCATTAGCATTATTTCTACTGTTTACACTATCACCACCAACACTTGGACGTTTTTATGAAGGACTTTACACATTGTGATTCTGATACCTTCTCACTTAGGGCTGGTGGCTAGTGAAGAAATATGACTATGACAGCATTTTCCTTGAGAGCTATTTTTAATAGAGATTCTTATTCTTAAAGAAATGTTATTATTAGTTAAAACCATAATTCAGTAATAAATCTTACCGGCTTCCACCCACCTTTATCCTTAGAAAGACTTTGTGAACAATCGCCCCTATGGACAGACATTAAGGGTAGGGACTGGTTTGGTCACAGTACAGTGGGGAACACATCTGGCAGTCATTTAACTTTCTTTCAGGGAGATAATTCTCCGGGCCTTCTAGCTGGAGGGAACAGATTGTTTCATATTCTTCCTTGCTTTCCTGTTCTCTAGGCTTCCTGGGCTTCTCTGAACCTTTAATGGAGATTCTCCCCTAAAATAATATGGTTAGAATTGGGAAATTTACTTGTCTTATTCTAGGGTATTATTCTAGCGTTCTCCTTTTCTCGGACTTTCAAAGAAGGCAGCAAGATTTGCAAGAGAACACAGTGGTCAGTCTCAAGAGATAGTTTTGATAGTTTTGGATAAACCCAGCTGAAGGAAACTGGACTGATTTAGATGGAGCCAAAACAAATTAGGGTGAGTGCCTTGGGCTCTGTTTCAGTTAGTAGAAGCCCAGGGGCTTCTGGGAGGCAGCTTTGGAGTAACAGAGTGGCTCAACAGCCATCAGCTGGTGCTGAAATGGCCTGGAGAGCTTCCAGAGGTTGGAGTTACTCAAACAGCCTTCTCCCCTACTCCAATCCTCCAAAGCTAGAGGAAGGATGGCCCTAAGGTTTCTTCCTGTCCCAATTTAAAACTGCATTGGACATTTCATTTTGAAGTCATTTATTTATATAAGACCTTTAGTGAACAAGCATGCCATATCACTTCTCTTATTTCTATACCCTTCAAAGGGTAGTTTGGCTTTAAAACAAATTAATCAAAATGAGCTCCCTAGGGTGAATAGCCCAAAATGCTTTCTGTACTAGCCACTACAGTATAAAAAAAAATAAACCCTAAGAAAATCCATACTACTGCATCAGTGAAATAAGTCAGGCACAGAATAAATACTGTGTGGTACCATGTATATGGTACCACATATAAAATGCCGTACCATATAAATGACCCTAAAATAGTCAAGTTCATGAAAGCAAGAGTTGGAACGGTGGTTGCCAGGGGCAAGGGGAAGAGGCAACAGGGAGGTGTTAGTCAAAGGGTCCCAAGTTTCAGCTATTTGAGTCCTAGAGTCCTACCGTGCAGCACAGCACCTACAGTTAATGGTGCTGCATTGTGTACTCAAGATATGCTAAGAGGGCAGATCTTAAATGAAGTGTTCTCACCACAAAATGTAATAATAACTAAGAGGGCTGGAGGAAACTTTTTAAGGTAGTGAATAGGGTTATAGCATAGATCGTAATGCTGGTTTCACGGGTATACATTTAACTCCAGACTCATCAAGCTGTCTACATTAATTAGGTACAGCTTTTTGCACTTACGAAGTTTTTCACAAAAACTAAAAAAAAAATACCATACTGCTGTGTTGTTTCAGCAACAGAAACTTAGAAGTTTGAATCATACTTATTGGGTTTTTAAAAAGATTTTATTTATTGATTTTTAGAGAGGGAAAAGGAGGGAGAAGGAGAGGGAGAGAAACATCAATGTGGGGTTGCCTCTGGAGCGCCCCCTGCTGGGGACCTGGCCCACAACCCAGGCGTGTGCCCTGACTGGGAATTGAACTGGTGACCCTTTGTTTCACAGGCCAGTGCTCAGTCCACTGAGCCACACCAGCCAGGGTGACTCATACTTGTCTTTGATCACGTCCGTTTTTGCATGCGCGTTCAAATAGCAGTAGCATGTAACATGAAATATGAGAAATTTAAAGCATGTCTGGCTTAGGGGAAAAAAGTTACTCCACACATTAAGTAAGCCAGCCAAATAAGAAACAGGTCATTGACAGACCCAGACAGGCAGCTCCTTCACTTCTGAGGCCGGACCCTGGGGTAACCTCATCAATTGCAGGCCGGGTGGAAACTCGGAGGACCTGTTTTTTTAGCTGTAAAACAGCCCAGGTCACTCTGGCACTTCAGTTTAACAGGTGCTTTCACAAATGTTAGTTCATAAATGTCTTTTATGTTCTGTGCAGTGACTGGGGTCTAGAAAACAAATCGTAATAGGAAGTTAAAGTTGAGCACTAAGCCATATAGGCTGCAGCCTAAACTGCAGCTTGTGGGTGGCCGGCTCCTGGGTCTAGGGCTGTCACAGGCGGTGGACCCTGCCGGCCTCCGCAGGCGGGGAGGCCAGTCAGGAGGGAGGGGGCGGGGGCTGCGGCCTCTGGCTCCTCCCCGGGGCGGGCCAGCGGGGGCGGGAGGCGGAGCCGCTGAGCAGCGCCCGGAGCCCCAGCGCGGGGAGAACGACGGGCTCGCACTGTTCCCGCCGCCGCCGGCTGGACGGGCTTCAACGGCGGTCCACCCCGGTCGGTCTAACCTTCCCCGGGTCCCGTGGTGCCAGGCTGGGCTACGGAGGCAGAGCACCACCCCGCCCGTTCTCCGCAGGCGGCCCGGGACCGGCAGTGGTGCCAGGGAGATGTCCGGTGGCCGGAGGAGGGGCGGCGCCCCCTGGCACAGCTTCTCCCGGTTCTTTGCTGCCCGGAGCCCTTCCCGGGACAAGGAAGAGGAAGAGGAGGAGAGGCAGGGGACGAGCCAGCCGCAGGCTGCTGCGGGCCGGGGCGCTACCAGGTGGGAGTCTCGGGCGTCGGGGACGGGGGCCCTGTGCGGACTCGCCGGACCGGGGCTCCTCGCCCGCCCGCCGCGAGCCGCGCCCGTGCCAGGCTGCACTTGGCTCTCCACTTTCTGTTCTCCTTCCTCCATTGCTAAAGTTTCCTCCTCCTCGCCCAGTTCCTGGGCCGAATCTGTCCCTTCTCGGGTTTGGTAGACGTGGGCGCAGCTGGCGGCTCGCGGCCGGGCGCGCCCCCCAAGGGCCCCGCAGCCCGGGGTGCTCCCCACCTCCCTCCCGCGTGGGTAGGTCCGGTCCACGCTGGCGTCTGCTCGCCACGTTCGGGGCAGAATCGAGTCCCGGCTTCCCGGCGGCAGGAGTGGGAAACGGTAGGGAGCGGGCCGAGCCCTCAGCCGGTCGAGGGGGCGCAGTCCGAGCACCCCGGTGCGGGGAAGGCGAAGCTCGGGGCCGCCACCCCACAGCTATTATTTTGTCGGCTTATTTAAATGTTCTCAAAAAACGAGTTTTTTTAAAAAATTGTGAGTCTGAGTTTCCAAGACTTCATCAACGTATGAAAATCTCGCTAGTTTTATTTACCATTACCTGGACGTTTAAGTGGTGCTGCCCCCCTTTCTTTCTTTCCTGTCTTCGGAAACATTTCCTTTCCCAAACAATCCAGAAACTAGGGCTCGAACTGCCTGATTTCAGTCATGAAAACGTGTCCCTTCTCTGTAATCTTTTCTCCTTCCTCCACCTGCTGTAAAAATCGATTTTTTAAGACGCGTCTGATTGGAAAAAACCCTTTCCTGGGTCTTTTCACCGTCCTGAAGGAGAGAGGTTAAAAGTAAATACAACTTCCCATTTTAAACTGTTGGTGAGAAGGGAGTGTCAAGCTCTCTCCTTCCCCAAATTGTGCTAGAAGAGTATGTAACCCATGTGATTAGAAGGACAGGCCTCAGAAAGCTGTATTATATATTTCATATTTTAAAGACTTGCTGGAGAGCTTCAAAGAAAACTGGAAGGGAAAGAACCGTAATTGTGACTGAGCTGGTACCATTTGTATTAGTTTTGTGATTTGATTTAGTCGGTTTTGTGTTCCTCCGTTTCCCTACTTGTGGAACCTTTGCTTTATTACCATCTGTTAATAAACTCCCACATCTGTTAATCAAATACCAAATCTTTTCAAGAAAGCTCCTACTAAATTGGTAGACTTCTCCTGGAAAGTTTCAGCTCTTATTACCCTGACTGTTAACGGAGAATTTAAAGTGCAAAGTTACACAGTAGTTAAAAATAGTTGTGAAGTCTGACAGAGCTCAACCAGAATGTCAGATCTACCGGTGTGGGCCGAGAGCCCGAGGTGCTTGCCATCACTGGGAGAACATGACAATCTCTGATAATGTAGAAGCAGTGTTTAAAAGAAATCCCAAGTAGACTCAGCAGAAGGTGCAACCTCGAGTCTTGGCAGAGAGGAATAGGTAGACCAGTTGCGGGTTTCTATCAGAATTGTCCTGAAACCCTGCCTGCCTTTCTGCACTATTTTGGCTTTTAGGCACTTCTCAAATCTAATCTCTCTGGAACTAACCACTCTACCAGCTAACTAGTCTCTTGTCCACTTACGACTTCTCTACGCTCATTACCTCAGGCACACCTGTGGCTTTTTAACAATGAAAATTTTAATTGTGTTTATACAAACAGTAATTTTGCCCTCATCTTTTTAAGAATTAGCCAGATGTTATGGGGATAGCAGATAATCCTTTGTGTGGGTGTTTTACCTTTGAAATGAGCTTAAATCTTTCTTTTCAAGGATATAAACACAAACAAAGCCTTCATTGAAAGTTCAATGAAACAAATGGAAATGCTTAGTGGTACCAAATGTCAGAGTAACACAACACCCTGGTGTTAACAAGATTGGAAACAGAATTGTGATTTGTCACTGTGATCTTATTTCAAAATGAAAGGGTATTTTGGCTGTTTCTCTTAGAGACGGTAAAAAACTTTTAATTTAATGGGAGCCAGGTTTACCTTTTGTACTGGTGATTTTAGGGGCAGAGGAGTCCATTCAGACATGTGGTGGTTGGTGTGGTGAGGCTGTAGAACTTCAATGGTGTGCTGTAAGTTGTTTGGACTTCATGTGGTATGAATACATCATCTGTGTGTTGAGTTTGCTGCTGTTCTAGTCTCATTAACCTTTAGCAATTAAAGAAGCCTGTTAGCATTGGCACTTGTATATGCGAATTCCAGTGTAGGCACTCCAATTGCTTGTCTTAGCACTCATCTCCTAGGTAGTTGTCCAGATCCAGAAAGTGCTTATATTCATTTATTTTAGATTACATGGGGATTGGCAAAAGGAGGTCTATAGCGGTTCATGTAGAAAATAATACAATAATTAATAATACAAGAATAAACTCTGTGTTTTGCATACTCACAACCATAAACCTACTTTTGCCCATCCCGGTATAGAAAGGAGAACTGCAGTTGAGATTTTACATAGGATACTTGAGAAGTGTAAGTTCATGGCTCCCAGTTGGAGGATCACTGCTGTCATGTTTAGCCCCGTTTATGGCACGTGGGAGCAGGCTCATTAGAAGTGATGGGGGAGAAGTGATGGCACGTGTTTATGGTGACTCGTGTTTATGGCACGTGGGAGCAGGCTCATTAGCAGTGATGGGGGAGAACACGGGGTCTTTGTGGTGGGCGTGGTTTTTAAGGAGCCTCACAGGCATTGGTGGTGTTTCTTTAGGTAGAAAATTTGGACGGGAAGATAACGATAAATTGGAAACAGGTCTGACGTGCTGCGCCAGGGCCCGCAGGTGGTTACAGTCTGCTCGGGGCTGTAACAGAAGCGGTGAAAAAGGTGGTAAGAAAGTTAGATTGGACCTGGATTGTCAAGGTCTCTAGCAGAGTGGTTGGTTCTTGATTTAAAGTTTAGAGAATTTTTGCAAAAGCCTGTTGAACAGGTACTGCTAAAATGTGAAATTTGGAGGCTACCTGCTTTGGGAAAGTGCTCAACTCTTTCTTTGCTATACCACACATTACAGACCTGTTTGTAATGAACTCTGTACAATGTGTGTAACTCAGGAGAGGAGTAGGAAGGTGAGAACAGCATTTGTCACGGGCTGCCTGCACTTCTGGACTGGTGCTTTTATTTATAGCATCTCAGTTCAACCTCACCCTCAGCCTGGAAGCTTGGTATGCTTACCACTATTCTGACAATTAAGGAAACTGAGGGCGGGGGAGTTCTTAATGGTGGAGACTGCTGCATGTTGGGTGCAACAGTTCTTTGTTGCACTGGACTCTCCTGTCTTCGGCAAGATTTTTGGCATCTGTGACCCTGCCCATTAATTGCCAGTGGCATCCTCCAGTCATCGGAGTAATCCCAAACTCCACCCACATGGGGGGGAGGGGGAGTGATGCCAGTCCCAGTGGAGAATGATTTACTGAAAGCTAGGAGAGGAATAAGGGTCAGGGGTGAGATTAGAACGTAGGGTTCCCTGGCTCAAAAGCTCTGGTTCATTTTCTCAGTCCATTGTATCCACCACCCTTCTGAACTGTGCTCCTTCAAATCACATTGGTATGTAAGTAAACTGGACCTTTCTTTACTTTGATCAAGGATGGGTGGCACTGTGGCCCGTCTCATATTCTTTTGGGCTGATCCACTGTGTGTCCCAATGTACTGTTATTGATAGAAGGTAAGTCAGCATCACTAGACTCAAAGACAGGGGCTGTGTCATTCATCTTGGTGTCCCCTTACCTAGGTCAGGTGAAGACTGAATTTCTGTGTGTCGCCGGGGTGTTAAAGCACTTATTAGTGGTTTTTGGCTAGTACACACCCCATCCTTGGGCATTTAGAAACGTGGAGGATCTTAAATGTCTCTAAGATAGTGTTTGCCTCTCAATTTGAAGTTCAGAGAGTGTTTGCTTGTCAGCATAGCTGAGGTGATTAAATGAGTGATGCCAGGATGCTAATGGCTCATTGTATAGGAGATATTCTCATAAAAATTCTCAGTAATGTCCCAGTGCATGAGATCTGTTGGCCTTCAAGGTAAATGCCAACCACTGATGGTGCTTTGTGTGAGGAAAGGGAGCTTTGTTTTCTGAATTTTCATGGTAACTCTATTTTCATCAGTTTGAAAGCACGATAGAAAATAATAACTAATTTAGTTGAACAGGAAATACCTGTGTGGTGTTGAAGGCCCACATCAGCAGTGCATACCTGTGGTAATTAAAGGCGACTGGAAAATTCCAGACATCCTCAGTGGTGTGCTGAGGTTCTAAGAATCTTGAGCAGGTTAATGGAAAGCACAGAAGCCACTCCTGGCAGTGGAGTAGAAATGCGGGCTGTTTCAGAGTGTTGAAACTGGAGTGTTTTTTTTCCAAGTGCAGTATCTTTCTTTCGAGTTTAACAGGGTGTGTGGCAGCTGGCTACTCCGAGGGTTCTGTGTCTCACTGAGGGCGTTCCTTGAAAACAAACTCAGTCGTTTGCCAGACATGTTAGAGTTGCACCCATGCCTCGGGTCGGCCTGCAGTAAATTTACGTGGTCAGAACTTTCAACGGCATTGAAACAATGGTAACAGTTTTGGTGTTTTCTCTTTCATTAAAAAGGTAATAGCAAATTTTGTAAAGCAAGAGGAGAATATTCCCTCAAGATAAAGTATTTCCTACCTAGAATTCTCATGAATTTACACTGAAGCCCAGATGTACCAGAAATGCTAGCACCACTGTGTTAGCAAGAAAACACAGGTCGAAGAAAATTTAAACTCAGGGAAAATAATGTGGGTTCTTTCCTGAAGAGAGGATCAGCATGAAATAAAAGTTAAAGAAGTCATATTTATTATGAGTCTTTTCAGTTTATTAAATTGAGTGTTTGCCATGTGTGAAGTATAGTGTTAAGCAGTGGGGATACAAAAATGAATGAATGACCAGAACTGTCCTTAAAGAGGTCATAATTAACGGAGGAGATAAACACGTGCCTCTGTTCTCTCGGGATAAGCTGACCATGTTTTTGGTGTGTGCAGATTGTTT